AGTGTAGGGTGGGTGCACAGGTCTGTCTGGGAGTCTGGAGCACGGGCTCCATGGAGGAAATGCCGCAACCCTGAAGAAGGGGAAGCTTGCTGGAGATGAGACCTGTGCCAGAGGCAGTCCGTGGAGGGAGGGGGTGAGGGGGTCCCTGCATGGTGTGGCCGGGCTGCCCTGCGGTGGGGGCAGGAGGGCGCCGGGAGGTCGGTGCTGTGGGCGGCAGGGCTCTGGAGGGCCCCACGGGATCAGGGGTCCAAAGGTGGAACGGGTGAGGTGGGGTAGCCAGGAGGAGACTGGGGGACCCTCACTGCTTGGAGGTGCAGAAGAGCAGCAAGAGGGACCCCTAAAGGACAGCCAGTCCCATTGCCAACAAGGCCTCTACTGGACCCTGGGGGTGGGGGTGGAGAAGGATGACACTGCCGCCCCCACCACCCGAGGGCGTTAGCAACTATGTGCCCCCTCCCCAGCCCCAGGACGGAAAAAGGGCAGATGGGGAACCTAAGCTCCAGAAACCCCCTCGTCTGGCCTGAGGCCTGTTGTGAAACCTCTCTCCCCGCCGTCTGAGTGGGTTAGCAAAGTGGTTTTGTGCCACACTTGGTGGGGACGGGAAGCTGCTCTCTTAGAGGCTGCTGGCCACACCTTTGGGGGCCTGCCCTCCTCCCAGTGCTTACCAGCAGGGTGTGCTCTGCCAGCAGCTTGTCGCCGGCTGGGGCTGGGGTGGACCAGTGACCACACGCCTGTGCCAGGGCCGCTTCCGCGGGCTGGCCACCGCCTCGGCCCCGCTCACCAGCGCCCCTGCTGGACGACAAGGGAAGTGGCACTTCTTGCCCAAACACAGGTCCGAGAGCCGCCGCAGGAAGCAGCCGAGGCCCGGGCTCTTGATTCCACATGCCACAGAGGTACAGAGCGGGCCTGCCCCAAGTCAGGTGGCACAGGCTCGAACAGGAAGAGCCAGTGGGGCTACACCGTTCCGGGCTCTGGGTCTGGGCGCCTTTTCCACTGAACTCGGACCAGCTACCTATGAAACTCCCCCCTGCCCCCAGAGGTGTAGCCAGGCAGCAGCCCGCAGCTCAGTGGGCCCATTGCAGCCCTGGGGCCGGCCACGGCCACACCTCTCCCAGCACATCTCCTCAAGGGTCCAGTGAAAATCTAAATCCAGGGCGCCTGGGTGGCTCAGCCGTTAAGCGTCTGCCTCCGGCTCAGGTCATGGTCCCAGGGTCCTGGGATCGAGCCCCGCATCGGGCTCCCTGCTCGGCAGGAGGCCTGCTTCTCCCTCCCCCACTCCCCCTGCCTGTGTTCCCTCTCTCGCTGTGTCTCTGTCTCTGTCAAATAAATAAATAAAATCTTAAAAAAAAAAAATCTAAATCCAGGGTCATCGTGCCGTCAGCAGCTCAGTGGGCCAGGGCCTTCTGAGGCTCTGTCAGGCCATGGACTTTCCCAGCTTTAGTCACACATGTGAACTCAGACCCTAAGTGCTGAGTTGTACGGGCACCTTGCCAAGAGCCAGGACTTTGCTCCGGCCCCTCCCCAGGTGAAGGGCCACATAGGGCGGTGTCCGCAGGACTTGCGAGACGTGTCCCCTGGGTCCCAAGTCTAAACCGATCCTCCTGGTTTCGCTTTGAACCTGTCTGTACAGCCTGGGGGGCCTGTGCCTGTGGTCCTCTCCCACCCCGCCCTCTGTCCATGTCCCCTAGGAAGCCCCAAGCTGCCCCCTCCTCATCTACCCCCATATGGGCCCTTCTTCCACCAAGGAGGTGCCGGTGGACGCCAGGTCAGGACCTCTGATGTGACTGATTAATCACCAATTACTGTGATTTATAATAAACTTCATGCCCCACACTGTCCCACTCCATAATCAGGACCCCCTTCCGCGCCCTCCCCCAGGGCCACAGCTCCCCACTGCGCCGCAGCATGCACGTGTGCGGGGCTGTGCGGTCCTGCCCGGCAGTGGGACACTGTGGCCCAGCTGTCCTTCAGTAGCCCAGCGTGTCCATGAGCCTGCTGTTGACTCCCTCAACACCTCCTCTCCTATCACAGATTGGAAAGGAGTTTTATTCTGAGAACTCTATTTAAAAAACAAGAAAAGATTTTATCTATTTGAGATAGAACAAGCGTGAGCAGGAAGGCAGAGGGAGAGGGAGAAGCCAACTCCAGGATCATGACCTGAGCCAAAGGCAGACGCTTCACTGACTGAGCCACCTAAGCAACCCGAGAACTCCATTTTTGAGAATAGTATTTATCAAAACATCTTATCACTTAGTAAGTAGCTCACAGGAGATTTAATGGGTACCTCCTCAGAGAATGAGAGATGCCTGGAGGGTGCCGTGAAGCAGTGGTTCTGGTCCCTGAGACCCCAGAGCCACAGTCACAGGGGCGGGGCGGGGCGGGGGCTGACCTCCCAGGGCACATTCCAGCTCAGGGCCCAGGGTACAAGGTGAACATAGCCCCATGGCCTCTCTCTCGAGCTGCTTTCGTAAGGTATGTGAGGGGGTCTTAGGGAGGAGGTGGATGCCAGCTCTCCCCTCAAAGCTGAGGCCTGCAGAGGTGTTCAGGAAACCCCCGTGTTCTGGGACCAACCTCACAGCAACTGGGGATCTCAGACCTTCCCCCAAACAGCCCTCCTTCCAGCTGAGAACCCCACTTTGCTGCTCCTTCACAGGTTGGTACGTGAGGCCAGTTCAAGATGAGCAGGCACCTTGAGAAGGCACTTCAGTGCAACCAAGATACCAAGACACCATGCCCCGTTCAGGCCAGAGCCTTGCTTAGGCCCCGCTGTGGCCACCCGGGCTGCACGGTCATCACCTGCGTCAAGATGCGCCCACCACGCTCAGCTGCAGCCATGGAGGTACAGACTCAAAAGAGAGTAAGGCTCATTCACAGCCACAACTGGATCCTTGTCTGGTCTGTTCTCCCCTTGATCCCAAAGTTCTCATCTTTTGTCAAGACTGTATGCTCTGGGGTGAAGCTACTCCAAACCATCATGAACTAATGAACATCATGGTATCTTAAATCTCTTCACTCTGTCCCCATCAGCAGAAAAAACTCAAGCCCCAATATGCAGGCATCTATAAACACTGGTCCCATGAGCGCCTCTGAAATCTAGACAAGATACAAATATCCCTTACATCAGGCCCCAAATTGTGGTCTGTAAAATAAGGGTCATGGCAATTACAAAAACACTGGAGTTAAGAGAGCAGCCATGAAGCAACTGCCCCCCATTCCCCAGAGAGCAAAGGGGACTTTGCTTGCAATTATTAGTTATGAAGAACTGTCATTCATCCATTGACCCACCAGGCCAGGGCCCCTCGGAAGCTGGGATGGAGGCCGGCACCTGCCAGGCACATGTTCATAGCCTTTCTGTGCCAAAAGTCCCAGCTCCCGTCAAGTCATCCCTGCGAAGACGTATCACAACGGATATAACCACCTTTGCTGACCCTTGCTCTACCGGCACTGGGGGAAGGACACAGAGAAACTGGTCTTGACCTTAAGGAATTCATATTCTAGCTGAGGGAGCCCCACATAGGAGATGAGAAAACACACCCTCAAATGCAACGTATCAAATGCAAACTCTCAAAAGTACGAAAGCATTTTTTTCTATGTCGTACCATTTCTGAAATGAGGATGTTACTACAGCCCAACGTGTACATTTAATGTGGGTGTTTCTTTTCTTCCTGCCAAGTTATTAAATTGATGATGAGTCCTAAAACTAGTGGTGGTGGCCTTTCATAACAAAGGAAGTGAATACAAATAAAGAGGCAGGTTTTTCTGGAGCAAAACGGACTGTTCAAGAAGGGGGGGTGGGGAGGGCAGCCAGGGGAAGGCGGAGGTGGTGCAGAGGCTTTGAGCAGTGAGGGAAAGGGACAAGCTGATCGGTCTAGAGCAGTGCCAACAAAAATAAAATTTGAGCCACACTCGTTATTTTAAATTTTCTAGAAGCTATGTTTAAAAAAAAAAAAAAAGACATGGCTAAAGTTGAGTACTTTCATTTAACCCAACGCATTCGAACATCAATGCAACGTATCCATATAAAAAAATTACGGGAATTCCCGTGCCCAGTGAACCAAGTCCCGGCCCGTGCTCCGCAATCTCGGGGGCAGCGCGCGGGGGCCATCCGGCAGCTGCGAGGGGCGGCGGCACCTGCAAGGCCCCGCGTCGCGCTCCGGAGCCTTCCACCGGCCGGACGCCGAGCAGCGCTCCGGGGCCGCGTCCCCGTTTCCGGATAAACAGGTGGAACGGCCAAACCTCCCCCTCCTCCTGCGCCCGCTCCGGGAGGGTTCGTCGCCCGCCTTCCAGCCCCAGCACGTCCGGCCCCGGTCATCCCCACGCCACCCGCGCGCCTCCTCGGCGCCCCGACCCGGCGTCGTGGTCGCCGCCGCCGCCGCCAGGCCCGCCCCGGCCCGCCGAGCCCGGAGCGCCGCCGTCCACGCCCCTAGCCAGGACCCTCGGCAGCGACCGCGCGAGCCTCACGCGCACCGGAAGTTGCGTTACACCAACTTCCGGCTCGCGGAGCCGGGGGGCGGTGTCAGTTACGGACAAGCCGTCCAATCAGAATGCAACACGAGGGGTTTCAGAGGCGCAGGCGCAGCTCCGCCCCGCACCTGGGAACTCCGCCCCACTGCCACGTTCGACGAAGGATGGCGCGGGGATGCGCGCATCTCCTGGCCAATCAGGAGCCGCAGAGCCCGGGCCTCCAAAGGCAGCAGCCATTCCAGACCTGCGGAAGGTGTAGGAGAAAGCCACCAGTCACAAGTCGAGGAAGAGAAAGTTCTCCTCCGGAAGCCAATGAGAAACCCGGGAAGAGTGCGAGCGCGAGCTCCTCGGCCAATCCCAGGCGAGGGCGAGGGCAGCCTCCACAGAGATTCCGAATCCGGGGTCGGGGGCCCAGTGCGGGTAGCCAATCCGAGCGCTTTGAAGGCGGGCCCCGAAGCCCGCCAGCCAATCGTGCGCGGGTACGGGCGGGCGCGCGCGCGGCGGCGGTCGGGCTTATAGGGGCGGGGCGGCCCGCGCGCGCTCTCGTGGCCTCGCTGTCCCGGCGGCGCCAACCGAAGCGCCGCGCCCGCTGCCGACATGCTGCGCCGCGCTCTGCTCTGCCTGGCCCTGGCCGCGCTGCCGCGCGCGGGCGCCGCCGCCCCGGAGGAGGAGGACCACGTCCTGGTGCTCCACAAGGGCAACTTCGAGGAGGCGCTCGCGGCCCACAAGTACCTGCTGGTGGAGTTCTGTGAGTGCCGCCGCCCGGGCCGGGCCGCCGCGGGGCGGGGACGGGGCGCTGCGGGGCCGGGGGCTCCAGGGCGCGGGAGGCTCCTCCGCGGGGCCGCTGTCAGCGTCCCGGGGACGCCCCTCCGGCCCGGGCGGACCCTGGGGGTGGCCGCCGGCCGCCTGGCAGGATCCCTCTGTCGGCCCGGGAGAACGGGGCGGACCCGGGCCCCACCCCGGAGCGCCGCGCCCCTGCCCGCGCTGCCTTCCCGCGGCGTGTCACGCAGCGTGCAGAAGCTGTGCGTTTGTGAGAGCGGACGGCCCGTCCGGGGCGGGGGGCTGGGCCCGGGGCGGCTGCTGGCCTTGGGCGAGGGGCAGCCCTGCCCCCGCTGAGCGCGGGGCTCGCACGCGCACGACGAGGTTTCGCTGTGTGCACCGGCGCTGCGGCGCTAGCCTCTTGGCCGCCCTGAGTTCCCAGAGGGCAGCCCGGGGACACGACGGCCCTTGCTGCCTGCAGGGGACAGGAGGGGACCCCTCCTTGGAGCGTGCCCTGTGCTGGCTGTGGGAGCAACAGGGGTGTGGGTGCGGGCTTGTCGTTTGTGCCCTCTGTCCCGATATTGCCTAAGAGCGTGGAGCTATCAGCTCAGCTGTGTGTTTTCACAGGGGCTTATCTCTGTGAGTAGATAAGGCTTTTATGGAAGGAAGTATGCAGGAGAAGGCAAGGGGAGCAGTGGAACTTGGTCAGTGCCGCTTTTTAGCACCCCATTTTCTTTTTCAGATGCCCCTTGGTGTGGCCACTGCAAGGCTCTGGCCCCCGAGTACGCCAAAGCTGCTGGGAAACTGAAGGCAGAAGGTTCGGAGATCAGGCTGGCAAAGGTCGATGCCACGGAAGAGTCCGATCTGGCCCAGCAGTATGGTGTCCGTGGCTACCCTACGATCAAGTTCTTCAAGAACGGAGACACAGCTGCTCCCAGGGAGTACACAGGTGTGACTGCCACGCCGCCCGTAACTGCCTGCAGGCCGTGGAACATACTGAGGGGCGGGGACGGGAACCCGTTCTCAGTCCAGTTCAGCCTCTCAGGCTCTCCTGAGGAGTGTTCTCCCATCCCTGCAGAATCTCGTGGGTGGAGAGGGACAGCCATCAGGGGTGGATGGCAAGCTGAGGCTTGTCCTAAGGTTGACCAGTGAGGAGAGGAAGGCTGGGGCCCTTGGGACCACACGGAGCAACAAGTGTAGTGAGGGCTAACTCAGGTGTGCCAGCCGCCAAGCCGAGTGCTGCCGAGTGACAGGCTGGCATCACTCACCTGTATGGCGGAGCTCTGTGCGGCAGGAGCTCTTGTGGCCGGCCACGTCTGGGGCTGCCTCCTGCGGGCTGGGCCCCTCTGTGGCCTGGTAGGTCCTGACGAGAGGAGAGACTTTTGTCTATGGAACCGGTTCTGTGGCTCTCCTGTCAGAATGCTCTGGAGCAGCCTAGTTAATCCTGACGCCAGTGACTCTGGTCTCCTTCCCAGGCTGCTGTTTTATTGTTCCCACGTTCACTTGTGTTCACTTTTGGAACAGGAAGCTCACAGTTCCCATGATCCCATCACTGACACGTAGCTTTGGCGCATGAGACAGCTACTCTCTTAATTCCACCTGTAACTGTTGACTCAGCTCTGAGCTGCCACTCAGGAGAATCTTTTTTTTTAAAGATTTTTTATTTGCTTGACAGAGACACAGCGAGAGAGGGAACACAAGCAGGGGGAGTGGGAGAGGGAGAAGCAGGCTTCCCACCGAGCAGGGAGCCCGATGGGGGGCTCGATCCCAGGACCCTGGGACCATGACCCGAGCCGAAGGCAGATGCTAAACGACTGAGCCACCCAGGCGCCCCAAATTTTCTTTTTTTTTTTAAGATTTTATTTATTTATTTGACAGAGAGAGATGCAGCGAGAGCGGGAACACAAGCAGGGGGAGTGGGGGAGGGAGAAGCAGGCTTCCCGCTGAGCAGGGAGCCCGATGCGGGGCTCGATCCCAGGACCCTGGGACCATGACCTGAGCCAAAGGCAGACACTTAACGACTGAGCCACCCAGGCGCCCCTAGGAGAATCCTTTTAAGTGTGAGCTTCCGCAACTTTCTCATGTTGGACCAGGTAGCCAAACTGAGGGGGAAAAGTGATCGGCCTCAGTTGCAGGAGGAGCAGACTTCTAGCTTTTCATTTGTCTGCCCTGGGTGGTACACAGGCGCATGATCGCTCTCGTCTGCTAGTCTGGGAGGCTTGTGCGGTAGGCCACCCCACAGACAGGGACACCTGAGTGGCCTGGATGCCCAAGGCCAGCTGGAGCTCAGCCTGTTTTCACAGGGAAAGCTGGTGTTTAGCTGACTTACTAACCAGCCTTTTTTTTTTTCCTTTTTTTTAAAAATTCCATTACATCTTTAATTAAGACGAGGCCACTGGGGGAAAGTGTGTGTGTGTGTGTGTGTGTGTTTAATGAGTTTAAATTCAGAGAGATTCATAAAATGCAGAGGGACCGGAGAAAGAAAATGAATTGTCACACTATTGCCCAGAGGTAGCCACTGCCTTTCCCTTGCTCCAAACGCCATCAAAGCTGCTCAGGTGCACAGAACAGGCTTTTTAGCCCTAGGATTTGCACAGGTGTGTGGAAAGAGAAGCGCCTGCTCTGGTTTTGGCAGAGAGCTCAGAGGAGAATGGCAGGGAGGGTGGGCCCTGGTTCTCAGTGGAACCGCATGTGTTTGGGCACAGCCGGCAGAGAGGCCGAGGACATCGTGAGCTGGCTGAAGAAGCGCACAGGCCCTGCTGCCACCACGCTGCCCGATGGGGCCGCTGCAGAGGCCTTGCTGGAGTCCAGTGAGGTGACCGTCATTGGCTTCTTCAAGGTAGAGGCTTTGGAATTTCATCTCGGGGCCTTCCCCCTCTGTCTCCCCATCCCCCCGTTGTGGGAGGAGTGTTCCCTGTGGCCTGGGCACTGCGGTCTGTCCTGCTGCTGACCCCGGCAGGGATCCTCGGTGTCAGGGTGCATGGCCGCCTCTGCTTCTTCTCCTCTGTAGGACGTGGAGTCGGACTTTGCCAAGCAGTTCTTGCTGGCAGCAGAGGCCATCGATGACATACCTTTTGGGATCACATCCAACAGTGATGTGTTCTCCAAATACCAGCTCGACAAGGATGGGGTTGTACTCTTCAAGAAGGTGAGTGGCCCTCCCGCGGCCCCACCCCGGGTGGTGAGCTGCTGGTGGCGGGGGGATTCTTTCCTTATTGCTCCCAGAGCTTGAGGACCTTGCCCAGGCAGCGCTGGGCCGCCAGCTAGACTTATCAAGGGCCCATTTTGCAACATCAGACCATAGGAGGCACTTAGACAACGGCCTTCAGACTTTGCGCTGTGGGCTCTTTGTTCTGGGTCGTGTGGCAGCTCCAGGGCCGTGTTTTAAGCACAGCCGCTTTGCAGGGTTAGCTCTTTTCAAAGAAACTGGTAAAACATATATAGCAAACTGTGCTATCTTAACTGGTTTTGAGCATAGGATTGTAAGTCCATGGTGTTAGTTACGTGGACACCGCTGTGTGAAGTGCACTCCTGTTTCCACGAGCTTTTTGCCCACCAGAAATGGACTCGGGAGTGTTGGCTCTTGGGAGAGCGTTCCCAGCGCTGGCCCAGCCCGACCTCCACACTGGGGGGGTCCTGGGCCACGTGCCTTTCGGTTGCCTGCGTGCCTGCACACGTGGCCTGGCTCACGTGTGCAGCATTACCATGGGGTCGCAGGAGTCTCTTGGTTTTTGTTAGCCACTAGACAGCCAGGTGGGCTGGCTGAACCCCCGTGATTTCGGAGTACAGCTGTCCTGCATTGGCCGGCAGCGTGTCCATGCTGTTCTGGTGGCACAGGCGGTGGAAAGGGAGAACGAGCTGAGAGAGCGAGGACAGAGGCACGTCCTCGGGGGTGGAGATGGGCCCTCTGAGTCCTGGTTCGTTCCCATGGTAGGAGGGCAGATTTAAAGCTCTAGCAAAGCCATACAGCGTGTGGTCAGAAGGGCCGGGTCCTGGGCTGGGGCCACCCCATGTGTGCGCCCCGTGTGGGGGCAGCCGGGCCGCGGTCAGCTCTGCTAACTCTCGCCTCTGACACCTTGCCAGGCACCGGCGGGAGGGGCGAGGGTGTCTCAGCCGCATGCCGAAGGACCGCGGACACCCAGGCTCGGGTGGCTTTCTTCCAGTGCCCTCGCCATCCCACTGTGTCTGCGGTCCGTCCTTTCTCAGAAGAACTCCAGACGGGGTCTGCTTTCTCCAAGGGAGCAGCGTTGTTAGATTAGCCAGTAGTCGTCGCTCGGGGGCTCAGGAAATCCCAGTTACGTGTGTGCTTGGGGGGGCCCGTGGGAGGCCCTTGGGCGTGGTGAGAGTCCTGGGTCCTGAGGTTGAGGCTGACAGAGAAAGGGGTTTCTCTGAGGCCACTGAGACCCATACGGCTTCCTGCGTCCACACAGTGCTCCCCTATCGCCCCGAAGACCCAGAGCACCAGTTTTCATGGAGGACCCTTGGTGCTCACATGTCCCTGAAGGTCTGCGGAGGCTCCACAGGCAGGAGCGCGGCGGGCGGGCTGACCGCCGTGTGCTTCCTTCCTGTGGTCCGTGCTTGCCGGGCACAGCCGACCCCCTTGGGTCTGATGCCGGTTGGGGGGCAGTCTTGAGCAGAAGCCCGGCAGAGCCCGGGGACTTGGTGCTGTGCAGGTGAGTTGTGGCTACAGCTGCGGTCCCGCGGGCCGCACCACGGCCGAGAGGGGAGAGGCTCAGGTCCAGCTCCCGAGTTCGTGCCGTGCTGCCTCCCGTCTTCCCACCACCATCCGGTTTGTTTTCCCCAATCTTTGCTTGTCCCCCTTCGTCCAGGCTGTTCAGCCCAGTTCCTCAGAGTGCGCTGGGTCTTCCTGTCTGCCCAGGGCCGTTAGGGGCGGCCTCGCTGAGCTGGGCGCCTCCCCAGCAGGACAGGGCAGGTGGGCTCCCAGGAGTGGCCAGTTGCCACTTGCTGGAAGGATGGAGTCTTGGGTTGTGGGTCACTGCCGGTGGACCTTTGGTTTGAGAGCTACTTTCTGTCTTTGTCATGGTGTTTGCGTTTTCTTTTTTATTCTTTGAAGCTGGAGGGTTAGGAGTGGCTGTGGGGCTAGCCCTCTCCTCCACTGCCTGCAGCGTCGAACCTTTTGGGGACGTTTGTCGTTGGAGCCTGAGGGAGCCAGCCTCTGCTGCTGTCCCTAGCTGAGTGAGGGCGGGCTGGCTGCTTTTCCCCAAAGTAGACGTGAACATGGTGGGATGTGGCACCGTCACTGAGAAGATTGTGTCTCGAGACAGATGGCATGCGGCAGGGCTGTTCTTCGGGCCTCGGCGTGAAATCGGGCAGACCGCTCACAGCGTGTGGGTGGAGACACAGTTCTGGGGGAGCGGGGGTTACTGTGGCCTATGCCTCTCGTAGGGGCTCACAGCATGCCTGGGCAAGCACGCCTGGTGGAGCCAGGCCTCCTGGCCTTGGCCTCTCTGCCTCCATTCCCTCTCCTCTGCCCCAGGTTTGGGGAGGAGGAAGCAGGCTTCAGCTTCATCTGTGGGGGGGGCTCCCAGTGCCCAGCCTTCCATGTGGTCTGACTCAGCCACTGTCGTGGTCAGGCTGAAGCTCAGGCTCTAACGGAACGATGGCAGGAGCAGGGAGTGGCCACCTGCTCTTCTAGAAGTTCCTTTGGGGAAGCATAGAGGGAAATGACTGGGAAGAAAAGGAGAGTAGTTTCTCTCCCTGGGTCTGATATGACAGTTCAGAGGGAATGACAGAAGGTTCACCTGTACTCTCCCCTGGGCAGGCTCGAGCAGAGCATCAGCCTGTCTGCGTCTGGAGTGGTGTCTGCGCACCCCATCTAGAGCCAGGGCTGTGGCTTGGCTGCAGGGCCCCCCTTGGGCCTCTCTGGGCAACAACCGCAGCCTTCCAGCTTCGGGCCCCAGGACTCCTCGAACTCTTCATGTTATTGGGGATCCCAGAGAGCTTCTGTGGCCGCAGATTGTTCCTATTGATTTTTATTGGGTCAGAAATCACAACTGAGAAATTTTTTTTTTCCAAATATTTTATTTATGGGGCGCCTGGGTGGCTCAGTTGGTTAAGCAACTGCCTTCGGCTCAGGTCATGATCCTGGAGTCCCGGGATCGAGTCCCGTATCGGGCTCCCTGCTCGGCGGGGAGTCTGCTTCTCCCTCTGACTCTCCCCTTCTCGTGCTGTCTGTCATTCTCTCTCTCTCACAATAAATAAAAATCCTTTTAAGATTTTATTTGAGAGCGGCAGAGGGAGAAGGAGAAGCAGGCTCCCCGCTGAGCAGGGACCCCCCCCCCCCCCAACGTGGGGCTCAATCCCAAGACCCCAGGATCGTGACCTGAGCCGAAGGCAGACGCTTAACTGACTGAGCCACCCAGGCGCCCCTAAGATTAATGTTTTAAACACCTTGTTCATCCAGAGGTGCCTGGCTGGCTCAGTCGGTGGAGGGGGTGACTCTTGACCTCAGGGTCGCGAGTTCCAGTCCCAGGCTGGGCGTGGAGGCAACTTAAACCTCGTTCATTCAAAATAACAGGGTGCCTGGGTGGGTCCATTGTTAAGCGTCTGCCTTCAGCTCAGGTCATGATCTCAGGGTCCTGGGATCGAGCCCCGCATCGGGCTCCCTGCTCAGCGGGAAGCCTGCTTCTCCCTCTCCCACTCCCCCTGCTTGTGTTCCTACTCTCGCTGTGTCTCTATCAAATAAATAAAATCTTTAAAAAAATAACAGTTATCACAAGTTAACAGTCTTGTGAAAGTTGGTTTTTCCCAGATGATTGCCCCTGAGTGGTGACTGTTTGGTTTCTGCCAGTCACTAACGTCTGCCTGGTGGAGGGATCCCTGGCTGACCTCCCTCTGTCAGGACATCCCTCATCACTCTGCTTCCATCCAAGGGCACAGCACGCTTGGGAGAGAGCGTGTTCTGAGCGGGAGCAGGAAATTGCAGCCGCTCTGAAAGGCCCCACACTCTCCTCTTGGTGTCACTGTTGCCTGTGGGGCCGGACAGATGCTCTCTGCAGCCCTCCTCTGGCTTTGTTTTGTGGACAGAGGCATGTGGCTTCCTCTCCCCATTGCTCTCAGAAGCCCGGACAGGAAGGTGGCCGTCAGACTGCCAAGCCGGGGCTGCCGGGGGAGGGAGGGAGCTGAGGGAGGCTTTGGGAGCACCAAGGTGCTCATGGCCCTCTCCCTCTCTGCGTCCACAGTTTGATGAAGGCCGCAACAACTTTGAGGGGGACGTCACCAAAGAGAAGCTGCTGGACTTCATCAAACACAACCAGCTGCCGCTGGTCATCGAGTTCACGGAGCAGGTGTGGCTCTCCTGTGGGTCCTGTACCCTGGGGGGGGTGGCACGGGAGAGCCCCGAGGTCTCTGCTCCGGGACCCCCCACATACAGAACGTTGCATCGGTGGCCTTGTAGCTGTTGAGAGAATATCCTGTGTTCACGGCTCAGCTCATGGCTCACACCCAGTAATCTATGCTTATGACACAGACAGCCCCAAAGATCTTCGGAGGTGAAATCAAGACCCACATCCTGCTGTTCCTGCCCAAGAGCGTATCTGACTATGACAGTAAACTGAGCAACTTCAAGAAAGCCGCTGAGCGCTTCAAAGGGAAGGTGAGCAGCTCGCATGCCTGCCGCAGGCTGCAGGGCGGCCCAAGGGTCCCTCTGGCTCTCAGGACTGTCCCGGAGGGGACCTGGTGAAGTGGGGACCAGAAACTGCCTTCAGCCCTCAGCTTACCCTGCTTACCCTGCCTCTTCTCCCCCCAGATCCTGTTCATCTTTATCGACAGCGATCACACTGACAACCAGCGCATCCTAGAGTTCTTCGGCCTCAAGAAGGAGGAGTGCCCCGCTGTGCGCCTCATCACCCTGGAGGAGGAGATGACCAAGTACAAGCCGGAGTCGGACGAGCTGACAGCAGAGAGGATCGAGGAGTTCTGCCACCGCTTCCTGGAGGGCAAGATCAAGGTGGGGGGGCCGCATCCTGGCGAGGGGCTGGCCAGTGCTGGCCGCCGGGCCCTCAGGGCCCCAGGCTTCCTGTGGCCACAGGTGGAGGATGTCTACGCCTGAGTGGAGACCCCTGAGGATGGGGCCCCCTCCTGGTCCCCCTGCTTGGGGAGCATGGAGCAGCCCCGACCTCGCGGGCACGGCCCTCTCCCGAGGCTCCGTGAGCAGGTCTTGTCCTCTGAGGACAGCTGGGGGCCCCGAGGGCCAGTGGGGGCCCCGGGCATCCGTGACCCTGCCCTGCCTGCCCTCCAGCCCCACCTCATGAGCCAGGAGCTGCCTGAAGACTGGGACAGACAGCCCGTCAAGGTGTTGGTCGGGAAAAACTTCGAAGAAGTTGCCTTTGACGAGAAAAAGAATGTCTTTGTGGAATTCTGTGAGTGAAGCCCCTCCAGCTTCCCGGGTCTGGCCTATGAGGGCGTGTGCGCTGGGGGCGGGCGGAAAGCGGCGCTGGGCTCTGCGCCTCAACACGGCTCTCTTTCAGATGCCCCATGGTGTGGGCACTGCAAACAGCTGGCTCCCATTTGGGATAAGCTGGGAGAGACGTACAAGGACCATGAAAACATCATCATCGCCAAGATGGACTCGACGGCTAACGAGGTGGAGGCCGTCAAAGTGCACAGCTTCCCCACGCTGAAGTTCTTCCCCGCGAGCACGGACAAGACGGTGCGCTGCCGGCTCTGGGGGGGGTGCCGCCGCCCAGCTTCCTGCCTGACCCTCCCTCTCCCTCTCCACAGGTCATTGATTACAACGGGGAGCGGACGCTCGACGGTTTTAAGAAGTTTTTGGAGAGCGGTGGTCAGGACGGGGCCGGGGATGATGATGTGAGTGGGCGTCGGTGGGCGCCCTGGAGGGGCGTGTGTCCCTGGGCCGGGCAAAGCCACTCTTCCTGAGGAACACTCCGGATGGAGGCCTTTAGAAGGGTCTTGAAATGTTGACGTTTGCTTGGGGCACTGTACACTCGTCCCATAAGGCTCCCTGCTAGCCGGGACTCAGAAGCTCCTCCCCAGCCGCTTGGCTGAGGTGTCCCGCCATGCAGCAGCTTAGGCCTGTCCAGTCGGCCTTGGGCAGCCGGGGCGACGCAGTGGGTTGTCCAGGCCAGAGCGTCTGCTGGGGGTGGGGCAGGGGCTGCCCGGAAGCGGCAGCAGGCCTGCCGCCGGAGTGTGCGCTGAAGCTGGCGGGGTGGACCAGCACGTGCTGCTGGGTCCTGGGGCTGTCACTGGCCCCACAGACCCTGGAGGCTGGGGTCCTGGGCTCCCCTCCTACCCTGTCTGCTCTGCAGAAGCTCCCCTGCACGTCTGCTCTTCGAGACCAGGGTTAGCTGCTTCCATCCGAATGGCCGGCTGGGTCCTGCTGTGCAGGGTGTGGGTGACGGGGCCGGGCTGTGCCACTGGCCCGACCATGCCCCTGCACGGCCCTTCCTGACGGGTTCCGTGTCCTCCCTCCCCCACCCCAGGATCTGGAAGATCTGGAAGAAGCAGAAGAGCCTGACCTGGAGGAGGAGGAAGATCAGAAAGCTGTAAGAGATGAGCTGTGACCTGGGCACCCCAGACACGACACCCCCGCGGGCAGCGTGCCCTGGCAGCGCGGCCTCCGAAAGCCCGGGGACCTTCACAGGCAGGAGGGAACACCGACCAGAAATGCAGGGAATTTTTCTGAAGCAACACTTCATCCTAACACGTGTAAATTTAGACCCATCTCTTCTGCTTTTCAATTTTTGGAAAGGGATTTCTCTCCAGGCCAGCTCACCTTGGTGGGCCGTTTTTTTTTTTTTTTTTTAAATTGTGATGTACTTTTTCGTACATGATTTTGTCCAAAGCGCTCGTTAAAATGTCCTGGAATCTCATGCAGGTGAAGTCTCCTTCCTATTAGGTTTATACTATCACTTTAAAAAATTCCACTTGTGGGATTTTGAGACATTTTTGGACGTCAGGGTGTCTGTCCCACTGTGGCCGGGCCTCCCTGGAGACTCCTGTCCCCTGCGTGGGGAGGGGCCGGGCCAGGCTGGACGGCTCCCTCTCACCTCGTGCCGGTGTCGCCGTGACGGAGCGTGGCTCTCATGTTGTTGGCTTAAATGGAGACGCTGGGTCTCTGTCACGGGGGGCCTTTTACGACTGCAGGGGGTGGTGGGTGCCGGCTGAGCCCAGGACAGACCTGGGCAGCTCCCCTGCCTCCCCAAGCCAGGCTCCCCGGTGCTCTGACTTCCAGTGCCACCTGAGGCCTGCGGCAGGCAGAACCAGAACCCTCCATTCCCAGGCTAGGAAACGGCCAAGGGTGCTTGAGCCGAACCACGTGTGGGCCGTTCTTCAGCCATTTCTACCACGATATTGGAATTGAACACATTGGCCAAATAAAGTTGAAATTTTACTACCTCTTGTCTCTGCTGTATGAGCTCTCCAGGCCACAGGGAATGGGCTGGGGTCAGGCCTCTCCTTGTCGGGGCACCTTTCTTGGAGCATGGTGCTTCCACGGGAGCTACAAGCATGTCACAGGTCACCAAGCGCACACGGCCAGGCTGCTTTGGCTTTATAGGGATGGGTGTCCCGGTGCTGTCCTGGGGCATCTAGTGGCCACTACATGAGTGCTGCTCCACGTGGAGCCCACCCAGCCAGCGCCTTGTCTTCCTGCCACCACAGAGCCTGACGAGAAGCTGGCTGCGTGAGCTCAGAGGTGGGTGAACTGATAGCATTGCTACGCTTACCACCGAGCCTGCACAAATCAGGGTCCGTGTTAAATCACACAGGTTTTAAAATGTAATTTGACTTCTAGAACCTCAGCTTGCTTGTAGTTCACGCTGAGAAAAGAACAATTGGAATTGGTTTTCCTACAGACAGGAAGCGTAGCTGTCGGGCTGGGCAGACGGCACTTGTGAGCCTGACTTGGTGACTCCTGGGGGTCCTGGGGAGCTTGGTGGCACCTGTCGGCCCCTCTCGAGAGCAGGACCGCACGGGGGCTGGCAGGACTCCCATGGTTGCCCGGCCATCGCCACCTGGTGCTTTGCATCTGTTGGTCTCTGAGCATGTCTACAGTGGCAGGTGGGACCGGAGGGCCACCTGCTGACACCCTGGCAGGGAATGGACGTGGACATACACAGTCCACCTTAGGTCAGGGACAGAGCACACAAAGCTAGGTTTCCAAGGAGCCCTGCCTGCCACTGCACGAGTCCCACCAAACCCTCCAGCCCCGACTTGCCCCCAGAATAGGAAGGACACATGCATTGCTCGATCCCCGGCCCCCCAGCTCTGATGCCCGTGAACGGGTCGGGGCTTCCCGGGGCCGGTGCGCAGCAGGAGACACGTGCCCGGAAGATGTGCTGTGAACGTGGTTCTCCCAGTGTGTTCTCCGCCTACTCTCCCGGCCAGAGGCCCATGTGCCTGCCCTTGCCCTCCCTGCTGCCAGCAGCCCAGGTGAGCGGTCCACAGCCAGTGTGCCCGGAGGACCCAGCGTGAGCACCCTGGGCGGCGCCAGCCAGGCCTTCTGCCCCTCCTCCAGCTCAGCGGCCCTGGTCCTTGGGTGGCCTGTGCCTGCGCTGGCTTCCAGCTCGTCCACTCCAGGGTTCATGCGTGTGGTGCCGACACAATGAGACACGTCTCCAAGGAAAGGCGAGCTTGGGCACTTTAGCTTCTGTAGGAGGAGGGTGGCAGCCCTGCCCTCCAAAATGTGAGCTGTTCCCCCAGGGGGACACATGGACTCCCGCGGAGGAAACCAGCACGGAACAAGGCCATCAGAAATCACAGCTGGGGTGGGAGGCTGAGCCCAATCCTGTGCCCCCTGCCCCAGTGATGGGTGTGAGTGACCCTGAGGACCCAGAGAGCGGGGGGCCAGGCGCAGCTGCCCAGCACTGCTGTCATGTGTTCCGGGCAGGGCGGGGGGTGGGGAGGCAGTGAGTCACCCATACCTTCCCTCTTTCGCAGAGGCAGCTGATTAGCACATTCCAGGGCCTGGATCTGCTGGGAGGCTGTGGGGTGGAGTCCAAAACCTAGCAGGGCTGGTGGATTAGCAGGCAACTTTGCACGCTTAGGGGGGTCAGTTAAGGCTTAACAGCCCGGGACATCCCAAACCTCCCTGTCTTCCTCCCCCCGCCCCCTTCTCTCCTGCTCTCTCCAGGTGCTGAGAAGCTTCAGTCCCGGAAGTGCACCAGCCCCTGGAGGTCCTCCGGCCTCAAAGCCTGCTGGCAGGGAAGGGGCCTGCTGTGGGCCTGCACCCATTCTCCTAACAGGCCCTCCAGCTCCTGGCTTCTGCCGGATGCAAAGCCTGACCAGTTGTGTTCCTCCGACTCTTCAGAGTGAGCTTTTTGGATTCATTGTCTTACTTTGCTTTAGTCCTCTACAAGGCAGAAGCCCAACATTGTACAAACCAGGTCACTCCACGAGTCCATGTGGGCGTCAGGGACCAAACTGGATCAAAACAGGTTTGGTTCTACTGTGGTCGCATGAGAGATAGACTTTGCGAACAATCTCAGGTCAGATGCTCACCCCTGCTTCTGACGGAAGGTTTCCAAATGAGATGCCTCAGGTCATGCCCGTGGTTTAGAGGACAGTCCCATGTCCTCGCTAGAATAAAAAAACACATTAAGGGACGCCTGGGTGGCTCAGTTGGTTAAGCGACTGCCTTCGGCTCAGGTCATGATCCTGGAGTCCCGGGATCGAGTCCCGCATCGGGCGCCCTGCTCAGCGGGGAGTCTGCTTCTCCCTCTGACCCTCCCCCCTCTCATGTGCTCTCTCTCTCTCTCATTCTCTCTCTCTCAAATAAATAAAATCTTAAAAAAAAAAAACCACATTAAGTACCTTTCAGGGGATCTGTTGTGACTGGGGGGCTCTGGGCACCCGTCCCTTCTCTGATCCAAATGGAAACGCCAAAACCACAAACCCCCAAGCTCTCAGCTCACCTTAGTTGGGTGGACCAAGGGGTGCATCATCGGGGTTGCCAACAGGCTGGCGCTTGGCCTGTCTCTAGCCCAAAGCCGGGTCACTCTCAGGAAGGGCTGCACCTTTGGCAGCCTCATCCAGGGTTCTGCGAGGGCAGACAGAAGTTCCCATGACACCAGAATAGGCAATCTTCACATCAAAGGAAAGTTCTGTCTCCTGGAAACCAGCCAGAAGAAGCTACACTGACTCCGCCCAAGTGACCAGGAGTTAAGATCACCTGGCACCATCCTCTGAGCCCTGGAGTACAGGGACACTGGGCACCAGGCCTGTATGGGGGCCCTGGCAGGGCCTGGGCTGAGAGGGGGGGTTCCCGTGGGGCTGGACCGGCCAGCAGCGGGTGGGGGCTCTGAGGCAGGCTGGGGAACCCTTGTCAGGGCAGGGAGTCTGTCTTAGGCAGTGCCCTGTTTCTCCACAGCATTTGGCCCAAGGCTTTGCACCTAGAGGGTGTTAAATACATTTGTTGATTCAGTTTTTTTGGATCAAAACCAGCCTAGTGACGCAAGGCTGCTGGTAAGCAGGCTGCCTGCCCCTCCCAGTGCCCGTCAATCCGGCCTGTGTCCTCGTTCAGGACTTGGGTGACCACCCAGGGGTATCTCACCAATGTCACGGGTTGAACTGCATCCCTCCAATATTCCTGTGTTGAGGTGTTAACCCCCAGAACCTCAGGCGGTGATCCTATTTGGAAATACAGTGGTCACAGATGTGATCAGTCACGATGAGGTCATGCTGGCAGAGGGGGACCCTAATCCGATGACTGGTGTCCTTATAATAGGTGAAATCTGGACACACACCTGCACACGGGGAGGAGATGATGTGGACGTGAAGAGGCCGAGACGGTGCGATGTGTCTACGAGCCAGAGAACACCAAGGACCACCCCCAGAAGCCAGGACACGGGCCTGGAACAGACTCTCCCTCCGAAGGAACCAAGCTGCTGACACCGTGATCTTGGACTTGTGGCCTCTGGAACCACAAGAAAATAAAATTTGTTTAAGTCCCCAGTCTGGTACTTTGTAACACCAGCCCTAACACGTGCTGCAAGGGCTGTCCCCAACCCCACGGGCGTGCTCCTGGGTGTGTGCGCCCATGTCTCCTGCCTCTTCTCTCCACTGAAGCCGAAGCCGCTTCCAGACGGTGGCTACAGCAGGGAGACAGCTACTGCTGGCTCAGTCTGCTGGGCACCTCCGTAGCACCCCACTGGTTACACTCTTGCAGGCGTCTGGGTCAGCAGAGCATGCCCCCATGGGATGTGATGGCCCATCTGGGGAGCAGACTGGATGCTCTCTTAAGTGGGAGCACATGTGCCCTTGGCAGAAAGTGGCAGGAGCCTGGAAGCAGGGGAAGGGTGGGCGGCAGGGACATGGGGCTGGAGGGAAACAGGGGCATTGTGGGGAGGGCTTCCTGGTGGGCAGCATGGGCTGGGCAGGTGGGACCGGAGGCATTTATTTAGATTCCAACCCGGGAAATTTCTGAGGAGGAGGGCAGAGTGGCGCAGGCCCGACGGAAGGTGACAAGTGACCGGGAGGGATACAGGTAGGGCAGGGCCTTCTCTGGCATGGTCAGCCCCTTGCTTTCCAGGAGGTGGAAGCAGCCACCCTCACCAGACATCGCGGCCTTTTCCCTGAGTTTCCAGGCCTTGGGGAGATGCCTGGGCCCTCCCCACATCCTTGGTACCCGCTCGCCTTCCCCATGGGTCCTGTCTTTCTAGTGCTTTCTCCTGCTCTCTGTAAGGCACCTTCTAGGCCCAGCTGTGGGGCAGACAGCAGTGGCCAGGAAGGATCTGACCCCTTTGGCCGGGGCACAGCAACAGGTGGGCTGAAAGATGAGCCACTAAACATGATCCTGAGCGCAGGGCCAGAGCTGCTCCGTTTCAGCCCCTCCCAGCGTGAGCATGACTGCGCAGCTTTAGCTTTATATAGCGCCGTGGGTCCTATATAAGGGGGAAGTGCCCGGTCACAGGGAGCACAGGGGCGGCGGCAGCGCTGGAGGAGACTGCATGTGCTGTCCGATCCAAGCCGGACACGTCCCTTCCCCGAGCAGCAGGGTCCCCACGAGGCGGACCCGCCACAGCACCCAGGATGCCCAGCAGGACCAGCCGCTACGCCCGATACAGCCCACGGCAGCGGCGCAGGCGGCTGCTAGCCGATCGCAGCGTGCGCTTCCCGAACGACGTCCTGTTCTTAGACCACATCCGCCAAGGGGACCTGGAGCAGGTAGGCCGCTTTATCCGGGCTCGGAAGGTCGCCCTGGACACCATCCACCCCTCAGGTGAGTGCCTGTGGGGCCAGCGCAGTGTCTACGGGGTGTCAGGGGAAGGTCTCAGCCTTGACCCCTCCTGCCCTGCTCTGCCTTGCCCTGCGCAGGCCTGGCCGCCCTGCACGAGGCTGTGCTCTCTGGAAACCTGGAGTGTGTGAAGCTGCTGGTCAAATACGGGGCTGACATCCACCAGCGGGACGAGACTGGCTGGACACCCCTGCACATCGCCTGCAGCGACGGATACCCAGACATAGCCAGGTGAGAGGCTTAGGCCAGGGGCTTCGTCCGAAATGCTCTGGCCTCAAGTGGCCTCCAGGATGTGATCTCCCAAAAGATGGCCCTGGGAGTACAGCTAAGAAAGAACCCTAAGAGCTTCTAGAATCTCCTTTCTGCCCTCTTCCCTAGAGCAAAGTGGAAAAGTCAGCCATTGTTTCTGGAGGGTCAGATTTCCTCCTCTTCACCCCTCCTGGAAAATTTTTAAAAAAGGTGTACCTCAGGACTCCAGCCTGCACCCCTGGGGTTGGGGTGAGAGCACCCTCCGGGCCACCTCCCCACTGCCAACCTTTGCACCCCAGGTACCTCATTTCCCTGGGGGCCGACAGAGACGCAGCCAACGACAATGGAGACCTGCCCTCAGACCTCATCGACCCAGACTTCAAGGACCTGGTGGAGCTCTTCCAAGGGACCAAGATGGACTGAGCCCAGCCCTGCCCTCCCAGGGCTCTGGCCCTCCCTAGAGAAGTTGGGTGCCCACCTCCCCCAGGCGCTTGCACCTGCCCTATCGGTCCGGCCAGGACCCCCGTACCTGGGCACAACCCCCACCCCGCACACTTCTGGCCTGGCTTTTTCTTCAGGTGAATTTTTTATTGTGACACTTTTTACTTTTTCAATAAACGTCATTCCCTAGCCCCTGGTGGTAGCCTGATTACTGGGGACGGGACGGTGCCAGTTCCCCCGCTTCCGGTGGTCAGCAGGCCCTGCTATCCATGCCAGGCTTGGGGGTCCAGGGGACAGCGCCAGCGCAGCGAGCCAGAATCTCGGGGCTCCCGGCTCTGAGGTCTCCGACCGCGCCAGCCCCGGACCCCCAGGACCCCGCCGTCCCCAGGCCCTCAGCTGCGCTCCCCGGGGCTCCGCAACCCCAGACACCGCCGCTTCCGGACCCCACCCCGCTGCCCCCGCGCCCCCTGCCCCGCCGGCTGCTCAGACCCCGCCGGCCCGGCCCCCTCCCTACTCCGCGTCACGCCGGCCCAGCGCAACCCGGGGCGCGGGCACCGCCACTCACCCCACCGGCCTCAGGCCCCGCCCCCCGAGACCCCGCCCCCGCCGCCAGGCGCGCGCCGGCCGTCACGTGGCCCTCACGCTCCCCGCGCCTGCGCCCGCTGCGGTGACGTCACTTCCGGCCGGGCCCCTGCTGGCGGCGGCGGCGGTGGCAGAGCGGGCGAGGTGAGGCGAGCGCGGGGGCGGGGGCGAGGGCGGGGGCGAGGGCGGGGGCGGGGCGGGCGCGGCCGGGATCCGCCCCGGCGCGGCGGCTGGCGAGGGGAGGGCCCGGGCGGGGTCGCGGAGGGCCGGGGGCGTGCGACCCGCTCGGTCCGCCGCGCCCGAGCCCCTGGGCCTGCTGCGGGGCGCGCATCCCGCCGCGGAGGGTGCGGCGACGAGGGGGCGTGGGGACGTGGCGGGGCCGGTCCGCGCCGGGCCTGGGGACCGGGCGCCCCATGTCCCCCGGGGCGCTGGGCTGGGAAGGAGCAACCAGGGGCCCGCCCTTTTCAGTCTCTGAAGCAGCCGCCGCGGAGGTGGACAAATGTCCTGCGTTCCCCGTTTTCCAAAGGGAACGTTCCTGGGGCTGCTGCGTGGCTCTTGGAATGCAGCTGGCCAGGCTCCCCCCCGCGCAGTTTTCCCTTCTTTCCGTTATCCAGCCTTTCCCACAGTCCCCGGCCCCGCAGGCCAGGTGGTGCGGGGCTAGGTGCAGGGTGGAAAGGGGGTAAGATGGGCCCGGCCCTCAGGGAGCTAGCTCCCTGGGCTGCAGGACCTGACTCCGCCCACGGGCGCTGCCACCGTTGGTGGTGGACAGAGTGCCACCAAGGCGTGCAGGGCCGACGGGGTGGAAGCCGCGCGCGCGCGTGTGTGTGTGTGTGTGTTCTGTTTCTAATTACAAAAGCAGCCTGGGTTGTGACAAAGTTCAGGGGGTATGGAGGGGTGCACGTCCTGTCCTCGGGCCAGCCCCAGGTCGGCTTTCAAGAACAGGTGGTCTTTTAGCTGAATCCCAAGGATGAGTAAGACCCTACTGGGCGGAGCGGACACCTTGAGCAAGGGCCCCTGAGTGGGCAGTGGGGAGCGGCGAATGAGTTCTGGGTAGGGAGCTTTTAGAGAGGGGTGGGGGTGGGGAGGAAAAGTACAGGAGCCCTGTCCGGCAGGACATAAGCTTGAATCGGGGTGAGCTGAGGGGATGGTGAGCTTTCTGGGCCCCGGGGGTGGCGGGTGCGTGCGCTCAGGGCTGTTGCTTGGAATGGGAGCTGCTGCCGTCAGCCAGGAAGGAGGGAGAGGGTGCAGGGCTTAGAGGTTTTGCCCCTGGGGTCTTCAGGGGAATGCCCCTGTTGGGTATCCAGTACTGCAGTATTCTGGCACCTGCTTGGATAGTAGATTATTTTCTAGAAGTCTTAATGGCTGAAACTGTTGAGTACCACAAAGACACAGAGTATCATGGGAAAGTGGAATCTAAGAAAACATGAGTATCAGAGATTCCAAAGGAACGCAGAATGACCACCATTTGCATCATTGATTCTAACTCCAGAATACTCATTGTCACTTTTCTGAGCAAGAGTGTCCTTTCCTCTCCTGTTCTTAGGCATATGGCTGTGTGTTGGGAAAGAGTCTGAGACTGGGGGATTGACGGCTGGGCTTCGGGTCCTCCCATGCCCTGCCTCCCCCCAGGAGGTCTCGGAAAGTCCTCGGTTCCCGTGCAAGAGCAAGGTTCAAACCTTATCCATCCCGAGAGACTCCCTCCTTGTCTTAGCAGAACCACATTGATGTCAGGGCTGTCCAGGGACCTGCCAAAGGGTGCCAGCAAGGGCATCGGTGGGCTCTGGGGTGCTCAGGTCAGCTGAGCTGTCTGGGCCTGGCCCTGCCTGCTGTGGCCCTGGAGGCCCAGATCCTGGGAGTCACTGGGGGTTCAGACCCTCCTTTGCTGGATGGCAACTGCTTGCTGGTGGCACTGCTGCCTTTTCACACGTCCTGGACATTCCTGGGCCTCTACCTCCATGTGAATGGGCTGCCTGTGCATTTGGGGTGCCCAGCACTGTCCTAGACCGTGCTTCTCCCAGAAGTGCCCAGTGAGCGTCCTTGGGGGGCACCTTTGGCTTAGGTGAGTACTCTGAGGCCCAGAGAGGGAAGGAATTTCCCTGGGGGCAGCAGAGCAAGGATGGATGACCTCCAGCCACAGAATGGTTCTCGACCCTGCCGTGTGCCTAGCACGTAGCCACCAGCTGCTGTGAGCTCGATAGCCGTGGACAAGGGTCAAGCCCTGCAGAGTGCACAGCGCGAGGGCAGCAAGTGGTTCTCTGTGGTGACAGCAGCTGGCAGAGGTGGTTCTGATTCAGAGTGTTTGGGGGTGGGCTGCAGCCCAGCAGTCAGACACACCTGAAGGAATAGATTGGGCCAGACTGAGGGCTTGATTGCATTAGAGGGTCCAGGGTGTGCAGAGCGGGGGAATTACTTGGGGAGGGGTGTCAGGACTGGGGTAGGGGGATGGTGGTCGGACAGGGGGTGGCTGGAAATGGGAAGAGGTAGCTGGAGAGCACATTGGAGGCTCTGGGAAGGATGGCCCTGGGCTTGCCGACGGTGGGATCGTGGGCTGAGGGGAGACCGTCGTTGCATCATTAGACCTGAGGCACCAGTGACTGAGCTGCCCTTCACATCATGGTCACCAAGACTGGAAGGATGTTGCAAACATCAACATGCTGGTAATTGCCAGATGCGAACCTATTACTTTTTTTTTTCTTTTTAAGATTTTATTTATTTATTTGACAGAGAGAGACCCAGCGAGAGAGGGAACACAGGCAGGGGGAGCAGCAGAGGGAGAAGCAGGCTTCCCGTCGGGCAGGGAGCCCGATGCGGGGCTCGATCCCAGGACCCCGGGATCATGACCTGAGCCGAAGGCGGACGCCCAACGACTGAGCCACCCAGGCGCCCCAGAGCTGAGGAAATAATTGTGCCTCTAGTCCTTGTGAACAGAAGAGGGAAAGCAAATGAGAGAAAGGAGGGAGGTGGTTTAGGAAGTGGGGAAGGCCAAGTACTCTTTGACTGGGGCCTCCTGCCTGCCCTCCCCTAGGCTGCTGCCCCTGCCCCTCATCTGTGCACCAGGTCGCCGTCCTGCTGGAACTGGAGGCTCCGTGGTCCTCCATGGCTCGGCCTGTCTTGCTAGGTGTCCTTGGCACTCCTCCAGGCCCATGCCACTCTCCCCAGCACTCTGGTCACCTGGCCCCTCCACACCTGCCTCTTTCGTGGCCCTGCTCAGCACTTTCCCCTGGCAGTAAACATGCTCAGATGTCCCTCTGCTTCGGCAGACATGCCCCGTGGTCAGCCCGGCCTCATGCCTCCCTCCGTAGCTGCTCCTCACAGACAGGCAGACCTTGGCTGACTGCCCCCTTCCTCCCCTTACTCCACTGAGACCCTTCCTGCCGAGGTCAGTGGAAATTTTGTCATGCTGGTCCAGTGGTCACTCAGGTCCAGGTTGTACTCCAGCTGTCCCCTTAGATTTCTCCCGTTGGAGCCTCTGTGGTTGGTCTTCTGCTGGGGTTTGCTCCCAGTGGACCTGTGTCCCCAGGCTTCCATCCTCTGTCCTTTCGGGTCAGTTCCTTTTGCTCAGCCTCAGTGCTGTGATTTGCCTGTTCTTGCCGTGGTTCGTGCTTCCAGCTGAGTCGTCTTCGGTGGCAGGAGCGGGCTCGACATACACCCCCTTCTTTAGTGGCTCTTCCTTTGGGTGCTCCTCTGGCCACTCCCGTTCCCCTCCCAGCGGCTGCATGGCCCTTGTCTCGGGCACGCACCCGGGACTGGGTTGGCTGTCACTGTCGGGGGTGCATATGGATTGCTTTTTTTAATGGAAACTTTTTTTGGCCTCAGGATTGGAGTCCCAATCACCATAGGAGGTGAGGAGGGTGAGTGAGTGGCAGGTCACTGTCCCTTCTGTCAAGCAGCAGGCCTCTGGCCTCTCAGGAGGCTTCTTCAGGAGAAGTTCCTGGTGCCGCCGAGTCCTGCCAGGTGGTGGGGTCTCGTGGGGGTGGGGCCGGTACAAGATGTTGGAGATAAAGGCCCAGGGGAGCGAGGCTGAGCGGACCGTTTTCTCCAGTCTGGGAAGACAGGTTGGTAGGACACAGGCCATAGCAGTCGGCCTGGTGGAGTATGATCTTCTGCTGGGAAAGGAGGCAGAAGGTGGCTGCTTTTCAAAATGTCATATTATTTGTTCTTCAGGCCCCCAGGCTGTGAAAAGCTGCTGAATGTGTGATGTGAAGTCGCTTCCCTGTCCAGTTTGTCCAGGGTACCAGAAACCTTAACTGAAGTAGGATGTCCATACGGGAGGGCCTTTGTTGACACATGCACAGGCCTGGGACAGGGACTTCATCATGCTGCTGGTTTAGGCAGGAAGCCCCGTGGGCAGCGGGGCTGGGTCCTCCGTGTGGGGACCGAGTGCTCTCTGGGTCCGGGGCTTAGGTCACAGGCACAGCTCCTGCAGGCTGGCTACTCTGGGGCCAGCCCAGGTTAGGCCTTGGGTCTGCAGAGACAGGAGAAGGTGAGGCGTCCATGTGTGTGCAGGCAGGGTGACGGGAGCCGAGAAGGGGTGAACACGTGAGTCAGCCAGAGAGGGTGAGCGGGGGACCCTAAGACAAGGCCACGTGCC